CGGGCAGGAGGGCCGGGGGATTCATTTTGGGTTGAGGCGGTGCCTCTGGCCGGGTGGGGTACCCAGCGGGAACCAAGCTCCCCGGTCACGAGTTTCTCTGCCACAGGAACCTCGTCTCCTGCCAGGTTCGCTCACGACTCCGCCTCTGAGGCTTTCACTTGGGCCTTTTCTTTCGAGCGGCTCATTTTCTACCAAAAGGGGGGTTAAAACCCCCAAACCGTATTCCATCCGTCTCCCCACCCAATATTTAACCTTCTGGGCTGGGGCAGTGCCTTTAAGGGGAGGGATTAAACAAATGTTTGATTGGATACGGAAGACGGGCAGTTTTTTTGACACCTTTCTTGTCCTTAAGGGTGAACTGAAGTGGCTCCTCCATGAGGTTGGATCCACTACCATTTTGCCTAAGATGAGTCTTTTTCCATGATAACATGAAAGATGTTTTTCGCATTTTAGAACCGATATTGATTCCCAATTGATTTTTGAGGGAAAAAGTCATTTGGTGAGATGAAATAAACTTTAAAGTTTATAATCAAGCACAATTTTTTTAATATGGGTTCTTCATAAATTGAGATATGAAGGCTAGAGAGCGCATGTTAAATCCAGCATGTCAAATTTAATACCAGCAATTATTGAGAGCTGGAGAAAAACTAACAGCTTTTCTGTTGCAGATGTGCTGTAACTTGAAGATTGAAATTGGCATATGAGATTTTCCATTTTTAGGGGGTGGTGAACCTAAGGTGTTCAGTAGAGGACACACAGATCTATAAGAGTTTTAAGAATTTGGAGCAGTTTAAATTGTTAGGAACTATATAATACTGGATCTTTTTAACATTAAGATTTTTCCAAAGATGAAAAAATATTACCTCATTACCTCATTGCTTGGAATATGTAAGGCAGTATTACTGTTTGAGTTTTAAATTTTGTTTTACCAGTCGGGTTATTAACGCAGAGCTCCTCTCTATCAGTAGAAGTATCCCCTGATCTGTTCAAGGTGGCATTCTTCAATGTCTTGTCCTGGAATAAAGAATAAGAAGGGAAACAGCTTAGCAATTTTGAGAGAATGTGAACAGTTTGGGGTGAGCATTAATGTGCTGCCTAGTCACACAGTACTGTTGATTCAGAGTGTGCAATGCTAATAACTAAGAAAACATTGGGTTATTTTTCAAACATTATCTGTAATATCTTGAGGTGGGTTTTTATGACCCGCAAACCTATAAAAAGGAATCATTTTTCTTTATCCAGAAGAGGGCGCAAGAGAAGACCAAACGTGTTGAGTAATTTCAGTTTCTAATCCAAACACTAGATGTATCAGAATTTAGTTTTGCTGAGTCTATTTGAAGTAGGGGTCACGTGGCATCCCTAAACCAGGAGTCTTTTAATTTCTTTCAGTAATTTAATGTTTACATTTTTCTTAAAGACCTAAGCTTTAAAAATAAATGCCTCTCTGGCATACTTTTATACAATACCCACAAAGTTGCCATAGGAAAATTTTTTATGTAGTTAAATGAGTTTTTTGTCTTTCTTTTGGTTCTTAAAACTTCTGGGTGGGGGCTGGGAATGTAGCTCTTTAGTACAGCTCTTGACTGGTACATATGGGGCCCTGGGTTGTATCCCAAGCACAGAAAAAGTAAAGAAGTTGGGGTTCAGTACAGTGACTAAGCTATTTTTTATTGGCGATTTCTGGTATTTTTCTGATAAAATTTAAGTCCATAGATAGTAAACTTAGTTCACTAGAATCTTTGCTTTCATTCAGTGCAGTTTGGACATTGGATTTTATTTTATTTTAATTTTTTATTTTTGTATTTAAGACTGCTTATCATAAATTGGAATTTGAAAAGTTATCACTAATGGGCCATTTGTTTAACCTGTTTGCATAGTTAGTGATGTGAGTCATTCTTGTCTTTGGTCCAGAGTTGTACAGGAGTATAGTTCTGTTAAAAACATCCTTTTAGAACTTTGTGATTTCCTAAAGAAAACCTTTTAGAAAACATCCTAAAATACAATGATCTCTTCCTTTTTGTTATATAGTTTAGAAGTTTTCCACCAAAATTTTTTGATTGGCTGTAGGATAGCTGAATAATGGAAATGTAATACTGCAGAAGTTAAGAACTTTTATGAAATGTATTCTCATGGTACAAATTTTATGCCACTATTTTTAAAATGATGATACCTTGAATTATTTTCTGGCAGTTTATATAATAGAAGACAATGTTTATTCATTTTCAGTATTTCCATCTTTTTTTCTGAAGTTTTAGTGGACTCTTTGTGAATCTTTCCCAACTGTTCTATTACATATATCATGTTTTAAACATAGTGGTTCTCAGGCTCAAAAAGATTTTCATTTCCCCTTATTATTTATCTTAAAGCTGAGGGCCTCAAAGAGTTTTTGATGTGGTTTATATTGATCGGTATTTACCATGTAGGAAATTAAAACAAATTTTGAAGGAAAAAAATATTATACAAACTCACATGCTTTTCAGCTTTCATAGGTAGGCCAGGGGTTTTAACACCATAAATGAAAGTAATTAAAAACAAATAATTTATATTCATATTGGATCTCCACCCTGAAAATCTTCCATAAATGGATGTGTGTGTATTCTACTGCATATGTTTCTAATGGCTTACTTGAGCCCAGGATATGTTTTGTAAACTTTTTAAAGAAAGGTAGATAACTAATATCACTATTAGTATACTGGTAAGGGAGTAGAAAAAGTTGTTAACCCAATTGAATCACCTATAATCATAGAGTTAACTTTTGGGTGGTTGAAGGCTTCCTCGTTATATCTGATTATTATATCTAATATCTAATTAACATAACACTTAAAAATTAAATTTCTTTGGTTGTAGTTTTGTTAGTAAATATTTCATTTCTTGAGTAGGCAGTGTTGCATAGTGGTAGGAAACTGTGGATTCCAGACTGGAGTTCAGATTTCCAGTTCTGCCACTTTGTGACCTGGGTAAGTTACTTCATCTCTGTGAGAATTTGTTTGTCCAAATGAAAAATAAAGAAAACATGGGTTAGAAGAGTTAGAAACATTGGTATACAGGTTTTTGTTTTTTTTTTTAATATATCGTATGATCTAATGTCAAAATGAATTTGACTATTAGAAAAAGTTTATAAGTGTTACAGCTTCTCTGATAGATGCAATGGATACTACTTGGTGACCACTGACCACTCAGGATTTCATAGAAATGAAATTCCCCCACCCCTTTGTTTTGCTGTGTTCAGGGGTTCAAATATGGTACTCAGCCCTAATTTCCTTTTAATGTTATTAAATCAGTAAACTTGGTTTTTGCCCAGAGGGTAGATCTACTCTTAATTGTAAGGAAAATTTACAGTGGTTTGTGAGGATGATGGGCAAGTTAATTCTTAGATTGAGGGGTGTTGTGGCATACTTAAGAGGTAGTCATGTTCTCTCAGATACTGTGGATTTTGGTTTGAAGCCTGGCTTAGTTCTGCCTCTGCTTAACAGTAGATTGCATTTTTTAATTTGTAAAATGGAGCTTACAAGTGTCTTTGGGGAGATATGAAGTAATAACAAACTTACAACTAAGCATAGTATCTAGTGCACAGTAAATAGTCCTTATGTGTTAGATGCCACTGTAATTTAAATGTTGTGTTTTTTTTTAAGTCTTTTTTTTTTTTCTCTTCCTTAGGCTATGGTGAAATAAATGGTAATGCTGGAGAAAGAGAAATATCTTTAAAGAGCCTGGGTTCTGATGAAGCTACCAACCCTATTTCCAGGGTCCTCAATGGCAACCAGCAAGTTGTAGACACTAGCCTGAAGCAGACTGTAAAGGCCAGCACCTTTGGGAAAGCAGGAATTAAAACCAAGAATTTCATTCAGAAAAACAGTATGGACAAAAAGAATGGGAAGTCTTACGAAAATAAATCTGGAGAAAACCAGTCTGTAGATAAGACCGATACTGTAGCAATTCCAAATGGTGTCGTAACAAATAATTCAGGCTACATTACTAATGGTTATATGGGCAAAGGAGCAGATAATGATGGTAGTGGATCTGAGAGTGGATATACCACTCCTAAAAAAAGGAAAGCGAGGCGCAATAGTGCCAAGGGTTGTGAAAACCTTAATTTAGTGCAGGACAAAATAATGCAACAAGAGACTAGCGTCCCAACTTTAAAACAGGGACTTGAAACTTTCAAGCCTGACTGTAATGAACAAAAGGGAAATCGAGTAGATGGTTCAAAGCCCATTTGGAAATATGAGACTGGGCCTGGAGGAGCAACTCGAGGAAAACCTGCCATGGGTGATATACTTCGTAAAAGTTCAGATATTAAACCTGGTGTGAGCAGCAAAAAATTTGATGATCGACCCAAAGGAAAGCATGCCTCAGCTGTTGCCTCCAAAGAGGACTCATGGACCCTATTTAAACCACCCCCAGTTTTTCCAGTGGACAATAGCAGTGCTAAAATAGTTCCTAAAATAAGTTATGCAAGCAAAGTTAAGGAAAACCTCAACAAAACTATACAGAATTCTTCTGTTTCACCATCTTCATCTTCATCTTCTTCGTCATCTGCTGGGGAAACTCAGACCCAGTCTTCAAGTCGGTTATCCCAGGTCCCTATGTCAGCACTGAAATCTGTTACTTCTGCCAACTTTTCCAATGGGCCTGTTTTAGCAGGGACTGATGGAAGTGTGTATCCTTCAGGGGGCCAGCCACTGCTAACTACTGCTGCTAATACTCTAACACCCGTCTCTTCTGGAACTGATTCAGTACTCCAAGACATGAGTTTAACTTCAGCAGCTGTTGAACAAATTAAGTCTAGTCTTTTTATCTATCCTTCAAATATGCAAACTGTGCTGTTGAGCACAGCACAAGTGGATCTGCCCTCTCAGACAGATCAGCAAAACCTGGGGGATATCTTCCAGAATCAGTGGGGTTTATCATTTATAAATGAGCCCAGTGCTGGCCCTGAGACTGTTATTGGGAAGTCATCAGATCATAAAGTGATGGAGGTGACATTTCAAGGAGAATATCCTGCCACTTTGGTTTCACAGGGTGCTGAAATAATCCCCTCAGGAACGGAGCATCCTGTGTTTCCCAAGGCTTATGAGCTGGAAAAACGGACTAGTCCTCAAGTTCTGGGTAGCATTCTAAAACCTGGGACTGTTAGTGAGAGTGGAGCCTTATCCTTGGAACCCAGTCATATAGGTGACCTGCAGAAAGCAGACACCAGTAGTCAAGGTGCTTTAGTGTTTCTCTCAAAGGACTACGAGATAGAAAATCAAAATCCTCTGGCCTCTCCTACGAACACTTTGTTAGGCTCTGCCAAAGAACAGAGATACCAGAGAGGCCTAGAAAGGAATGATAGCTGGGGTTCTTTTGACCTGAGGGCTGCTATTGTATATCACACTAAAGGTAATTCATTTGTTTCCTATACAGAGATTCTTATTGGCCAATTTAGCATAATGTTTATGGTAAATTTTGAATATTCTGTGATTCTTTAAGACACTGGAGAGCTTAGTTGAGAATGACAGTGGAGAAGCAACTAGCAAAGACAAGAATGTCTTAATTCAGGATCTTTGGAAATAGTATGGTTAAAGTTTAGAAAAAATGTTCAGTTTTTCAACTTAAGATATTTTTGTATAAATAGGTATAATTGACCCTATCTAGTTCAGAGACTACAGAGGTGTATGTATATTGGTGGTGAGGGGGGCAGATTACCTCAAGGAATGGATTACCTTATGTTTTCATAAGGGTCTTAAAAAATTATTTCCTTTGCACAGATATCTCTTTTTTTCTTTTTACTAGCTATATATTACAGTAGAGTATATTTTGCAGATACTCCCTTCTTTGCTTTTGTATCATGCTGCTTTATTGGTGAAGCATTTAGTAGTTCTAATTTGCTTAAAATGAATAAGAACAGTGTTTTTTCAAGGAGTCCAAAGAAGATGGAATGTCAGACTATTTTTTCTTATAACAAGGAATAATGGGGTGCTGAATGGTAACTAAAAGAATTTAGATAAGTTACTATGTCAAGCATATTTGTTTATGAGCATCGTAGAGACCAGGTGCTTGGGAATCTGTACTTTTCATAGCTCCAAAGCCTGTTAAAAGGGAACCAGTTGTGGATGCAGTGGTTTGCATCTGCAGTGCCAGCTACTTGAGAGGCTGAGACAAGAGGATTGCTTGAGCCCAAGAGTTGGAGGCCAGTCTAGGCAACATATTAAGACCCTGTCCCTAATATTTTAATAAAACCCAGATATTTTTCAAGTTCCATGCTAATACTTTCTTATAATATGACTTTAATTTTGTTGTTTCCAGGATTAAACCCAGGGGCGCTTAACCACAGGGCAACATCCCCCCCTCTCCTTTTTTTTTTTTTCTTTGAGAGGGTCTAAGTTGCTGAGGCTGGCTTTGAATCTGTGATCCTCCTGCCTCAGCCTCCTGAGGATTACAGGTGTGGGCACCCAACACCTATTTTGATCTTAAAAATTGGCTGAATGGGCTGGCGTTGTGGCTCAGTGGTAGAACACTTGCCTAGCGCGTATGAGGCACTGGGTTCAATTCTCAGCACCCCATATAAATAAAGTCTTGACAACTAAAAAAAAAATTGGTTGAGTGATATAACTACTTTAAAGTAATGAGATAATGGTGATATACAACAGTGGATTTTAGTCTTACCCCTTCTGCCTCATTTCTCCCCCACCCTAATAAAGTCACACCCCATTTGCGTATGCATACCTAATATGAACTGCACATTCCCATCTTTAACATGGGCTTATTCAAACAGTGACTTGGAACTCCCAAGAAAAGGGGGTAGCCTATCAGATTGTAGGGATGAGGTAATTGCCAGTTCTTTCAGAGAGCCTGAAAGAAATCATTGCCTCAGAGATGAATAACAAAGTTGTTTATATGACCTTTTAATCGAATTACCTAGACTGCATATCTTTCCTTATTTTCAGATTGGAGGACAATAAAATGAATGGAAGTCCTCTTCATATTTTTTTCCTTTAAGAAATGGGAATAAGGATTGATTTATGGAAGTCTTAGAGTAGGAATCCTAACAGATAGTTTACCTGTCTTCACTTGCTCTTCTCTTTGGAAGTAAATATGAGTTACCAGAAGCTGGATGTTTTTAGGAAAGTAGGGTACCTCCAAAAAGTATGTTGACATGTTCCTTTAAGTCGTAGGTTAGTTGGTGGTCTTATGGGTGATTTATATGATGCTGAGGATTGAACCAATGCCTCACGCGTGCAAGGCAGACACTCTACCGCTGAGCGATAGCCCCAGCCCATACATTTTCTTTATACATGGACTAATTACAATATGATATCAATGGTTTAGATAAGCTAAATGCCTCATAAGGGTAGTTTTGTTTTGTTGATGTTATTGAGAATATTTGTTCTAGTGAAGTACATCAACTTGAGTTTTGGACATTTTTTTAATGAAAACTTAAAAGAGAATAATCAGTTGGGCTTATTGGCATATTAAGAGCACCTGTATTATTCTGTAGTGTGGTCCTAACTTCAGAAATAAGCCATTCATTAAGATGGGAAGGTGTGTCACTTAATTTTGTGGTATTGGGCCTCACTTGTTAGGCAAACATTCTGGTAAGCAGTTAGGTCACCAGCCCCCCCCCCTTTTTTTTTTTAAATTTTGGGACAGAGTCTTGTTGAGTTGTCATAATTTTAGGATCCCTCTTCCCCAGTCTCCCTGGTAGCTGGGGTTATAGGAATGTGCCAGTGTGTCTTGGCAGGGCTGGTACATTTTTTCGGTTTAGCATTAGTTTCTAGCAGCCTTACAAGTACTGTGGATTTTTAAAAATGTAATTCAGAACAATTAACAGCTATGAAGGGAAGATAAAAAAAAGCATAAAAATTGATTTATGGGAATTACAGTTTGGGGGATTTTTCTTAGCATTTGATATATGTTATGCTGTAAAATTTGCTGGCCTTGCCTAGTTGGGACTAAAGGTATACATCCTGCACCTGGCCTTGAAGCATTGTTATTGGGGAGGGGGAGTACTGGGATTGTACCCAGGGATCCCGCTTGATCACTGAGCCACATCCCCAGCCCTTTTTATTTTATGATAGGGCCTCACCAGATTGCTAAGGCTGACTTTGAACTTGTTCTACTCTTGGCCTTGGCCTCCTTCAACTACTGGGATTATAGATGTGTACTACAATGCCAGGCAACAATCGCATTAGACACTAAACAACTATTATTTTCTCCTCAAAAACCTTGGCAACCACCATTTCTTTATCCATTCATTTGTGTTGGGACACCTAGGTTGTTTGCATATTTTAGCAATTATAAATAATATTGCTACAAAGTCAAATGTAGAAATATTTATTATACCCTGCTTTCAGTTCTTTGATGGTATGTACCCAGAAATGGGATTACTAGATCATATGATAGAATCTGAGTTTCTGAGGAATCACCATACTGTTTTGCATTGTACGAGTAGTGGTGCACAAGGGTTCCACATCCTTGCCAACACAGATTTTGTTTACTTGATGGTAACCATCCCATTGGTTGTGAGAGGTGGTATTTTGTAGTTTGGTTTTTTTTTTTTTTTTTTTTTTTTTTTTTTAAGAGAGAGTGAGAGAGGAGAGAGAGAGAAAATTTTTAATATTTATTTTTTTAGTTCTCGGCAGACACAACATCTTTGTTGGTATATGGTGCTGAGGATCGAACCCAGGCCGCACGAACCCAGGCCGCAGCGCGCTACTGCTGAGCCACATCCCCAGCCTTTTTTTTTTTTTAAAGAGACAGGGTCTCCCTAGTTGCTTAAGGCCTTCATAAATTGCTGAGGCTGGCTTTGAACTCACAGTCCTCCTGCTTCATCCTCCCAAGCCACTGGAATTACAGGAATGCACCACTGCACCGTGCTGGTATTTGCATTTCCCAGTGATTAGTAATGTTCAGCATCTTTTTATGTACTTATTAGCCATTTTTATATCTTTGGGAAAATGTCTAAGCGCTTTGCAGTTTTAGACCTGGTTTGCTTTTTTTTTAATTTTTTTTTAGATTTAGGGGTTCTCTGGTTATTCTGTTTTCAGATATGTGATGGGCAAATATTTTCTCCCAGTCTGTGGACTTTTTTTTTTTTTTTTTTATGAACAGTGTTTACAAATTTTCTTTTTGTTTTTTTGTATCAGGAATTGAACCCGGGGGCACTTAACCATTAAGCCACATCCCTAGCCCTTTTTAATATTCAGGTCTCACTAAGTTGCTAAGGCTGGCTTTGAACTCGCCATCCTGCCTCAGCCTCTAGATCTCCTGGGATTATAGGCATGTACCACTATATCTGGCTAGTAATAGCTCTTAATGCATATACCCAAGATGTGTAACTGTTACCTCCTTTGAAGTAGCTTACTCAGAATTCTTAGTTTAATGAAACTCTGATTTGTCTTCAAAGGCTTCTAACTCTAGATCCTGACTTTTTTTTTTTTTTTTAAATGGCCTGGCCATTTAAAGCCTCATTAAGAGATTGATAAGAGTGTGTATTTGGTTGACTTTTTGGTCTTGACTTTTTTGGTGCTGGGATCAAAGCTAGGGCATTGTTATTTTTCTTACCTCGCTAATACTTAATTGAAGAATATAGAGCACTTGAAATGCTGACATTTTAATGAAGCTAATAAGATATGGGGGCTGGAGATATAGCTCAGTTGATACAGAATGTTTGCTTTAGATGTACAAGGCCGCCCTGAGTTTAATCCCCAGCACCGCCTTAAAAAAAAAAAGATATGGTAAATTTGACTTAAGACACAGAAAGCCTAGGGAGATGATCAAGATTTATATTTGAGGAAGCTGGGGTTGTAGCTCAGTGGTAGAGTGCTTACTTAGCACATGTGAGGCCTTGGGTTCAATCCTTAGCACCACATAAAAATAAATAATAAAGGCATTGTGTCCATCTATAACTAAATCTTAAAAAAAAAAATTTAAAAAATGTACTTGATGATTTGGTTGAGAACATGAAAGCTATTCTTGACTGTAAAATTAGTTAATGATCAAAAATAAAAAAAAAATTTAATGTGAAATACAGTAAAAATATAAGGTTAAGGTGATTGTCCTAAAAATAGGGTGTATGAAACCTAAATCAACTACTTTGGAGGAATAGTAACTCAAGTTCTGATGCTCTTTTTCTTTAATCTTTGGGAGGTGTCTTTTCTATAGATGGAGAAGCTACTGGTATAAAATATTCCTTAAGTAACTGTAGACTGTTGCATAAAATTTTTAAAAATTTCTCTACTATCTCCACAGATGGTAGGTTATTGGTATAGATAGTTTGGTTCACTAGATTTGAGGTAGGATCTAGAGTAAAAAATGAGCTCTCTAGGTGGTTCTGATTGCCAGTTGCAATTGGGAATGATAGGTATAAGAGTTTTACTCAGTGTAAGTAATCTTTTCTC